CTAGGGGGCTCTATGAGATGCTGTGGGGTGCTGTGGGATCTAGGGGGTTCTATGAGATGCTGTGGGGTGCTATGGAGAGCTATGGGTGCTGTGGGCTCTATGGTAGTTTATGAAGCTCTAAGGGCTCCATGGGGTGCCATGGAGAGCTATGAGACTGCATGGGCTCTGTGGGGCACTGTGTGCTTTATGGGGCTCCATAGGGCCTTATGGGTCTCTGTGGGGTGCTTTGGGCCCTGTGGAGCTCCATGGGACTCCATGGGGCCCCATGGGGTGCTATGGGGCTGAGCCCCACATCCTGTGCCCCCCAGCTCGTGTTTGTTGTCACCATGGATGTGCCCCACGAGGCTGAGTTGGGGGACAGAGTGGAGGTGGTGGCGTTGGCCAGCAGGTGGGTGACACTGCAGCATCACACTGTGACACCGCACGGCCATGGGTGGCACTGCAGTGCTGTGTGGGGCTGTGACATCGTGACATGGTGTGACGTGGTGTGACACTGGGTGACAGTGTGACACGGTGACATCACGTGATGCTGTGTGACATGGTGTGACATTGGGAATTTGATAGAGGGTGACACGGTGTGATACTGTGGTGCTAACGCTGTGCTATGTGACACTGGTGGGGTGGTTCCTTTGATGTGTGACACTGCGTGACAGTGTGACACCGTGACACTGACATGAGGTGACACGGCTAGTGACGCAGTGATGTGCCGTGGTGTGACACGGTGTGAGTGACATGGGTGGCAGTATGTGACACAGTGTGACCCTTGTGGGGTTGTGACAGTGACACTGTGTGTGATGTTTTGTGACACTGTGACATTGTGTGGCACTGTGACACGGTGTGACGTGATGGGATGCTGTGTGTCTGACAGTGGGTGACACAGGGTGAGGTGGTGACACTGTGGGGCTGACACAGTGATGCAACGTGAGCCCACGTGTCCCGCTGTCCCCGCAGCGTCCCCCCACCCGTGAGCCCCCATCAGGTGCGTGCCGTGCTCCCAGTGCTGTACAGCGTTGTGCTGCTGCTCACCAGGTGGGCCTCCCACGTGCCCCACATCCCCCCGGTGCCGCCGCCCCGTATCCGCGTCTCCTCGCCCCACACAGCCGCCCCCCTCCCCACATCCCCATGGGCGTCCCCGTCACCCCAGGTCCCTACGGCCGTCCCCGCGACCCAACGTGCCGCATCCCTACGGACAGGGGACGTCCCTGCGGGTTCCCCAGCGTCCCCACATCTCCGCGGCCGCCCCCGCATCCCCACGCGTTCCCCCGCCGTCCCCGCGGCCGTCCCGCATCCCTGCGGTGCCCGGCCGCACCCTGACGCGCCGTCCCGTCGCCCCGCAGCTCTCCGTCCTCCACGCGCTCGGTGCCCGCAGGACAGACCGCGGTTCAGCACCGCTACCAGCTGGCGGCGCAAGGCGCGCGCCGCCCCCCCGGCAACGCCACCGTCCGGGTGCCCACGAGGCTGCGCGGCGCGGAGCTCTGGGAGGAGCTCTGGGTGGTGGGGCCGCAGGTTCGGGCGGGGCCGCGGGTGGGGGCGGGGCCGCGGGTGGGGGCGGGGCCG